TCTCCCTCTCATTTTCTATTGCTTTCTTTCCTTTACTTTTCTTCGTTTCTACACAACATCGAACAGTGACCCACTGTTCTAGTGTCAACCACTCTGAGCTCCGGTTTTCTTTCTTAACCTTATTTCTCTCTCTATACCACCATACGAAGCTCAATGGAGAAAATGTTTCCTTTTCAGAAATGCAACTACCGTATTTCACTCTTCATCTTGTCCTGCGACTGGTTCACCCCCGTTGGGCTTGCTCATCGCCGATGCTCTCTCTCCGTTGGGCTTCCTTCTACTATTGCGATGCCGACGATTGCCCTCCTTTTGCAAGGCCTTGGATCTTCTTCTCACAGGTTAGATCGTCTTTTTCTTTATCCTTTTTTTTGGGTTTTTTTTTAGGGGGGTGGGTTAGCACACAGGAGGCACATTTTATTTTTTGCTTGTTTATGTGCTTTGTTATTTGAGAAAGCCCGATTCATTTGTTGACAAAAGCCCCAACGAAGCTTGCAATCTCAATCGTCTTTCTCGCAATTGCCAAATTTTTTCCATTGAAGACTTCTAGATTCGTCTGCACATCAACCCGGGTAGCAAAAACCGGGTCCCTGTTTTCCGCCTGAATTGAAGACCGGAGATAGCATAAAACCGAATCAGACTTGATCATGTCAACCGAATTAAACCGACTTAGGTCGGTTCGGTTTGATTCGGTTTTTTAAGGGAACAAAACCGATCATGTCTAAAAAATTCTAGAAAATGTATATTCAGTTTGATTTGGAAAAGGTCCAAGACCGAACCGAACTGACCCTTTGAACACCCCTAGCCAACGTAACCCATTTGGAATTGAGTTGATGCGCGGGGGATGTTGGGATGAGCAAGCTAAACTTTCCTGGTATAGCCAAGCATCGGCACCTCTCCTTGTATTATTATTACTGACATTGTTCGGATATGGAGCCCAGGCCACGTGGCTTCATAATTCAACTATAATTTTTAAAAAATTTTTAAAGGACTTTTGACGATTTGGGAGTAGTGAAGTTTAATTTCTTTTTATCATTACAAGTATTTCTTATACACTTTATAATTTAAAATTAATTTTATTCGAGTTATTATAATTACCCTTCTCAAATATAGAAGAGTGTTTATGTATTTAATTCATGAGATTTTCAAATACATTACTAAAATTTCAATTTATTTATAAAATCATCATTGAGCTCCTAAAATTTAGAAATAATTTTATAGTACTATTAAAACCTCAAGAGTATATTTAAAATCTCTCTTGTAGGAATATTCAAAACTGATTCAAATTAATTAAACCGACATAAGCCAAACAAAACCAATTAAAGCCTAAAAGATCGGTTTAATTTAGTTTAAAAACATAGAAACTGATTGATTTGGTTTGGTTTTTATTTTTTTCTCAAAAAAATAACCAAACCAAACTAAACCGATTGTTATACACATACATATAATTTTATGTTATTTAATATATATGTATTATTTTTGTGATGATTATTCAATCTTGTCTCTATTTATATATATCAACATATGAAACTTTTTTCCTTATTAAATAAGTAGAATTAAATTACTTGTCTCAAAAAACTTCTCCAAAATTGAACAGATAAATTCAAGCTAAACTATTGTTACTATGTCTAATTTAATTTAGTTTTGAAATATATTAAAAAGTCGATCATGTTCAAAATTTTACAAAATTGACATGTTTAATTCGAATTAAAAAATACTCTAAACTAAATTGAATCGAATTGAACAGGGAAATTTTCGAATACATCTCTAAATTTTTAACAGTGTTATAAAATCATCCCTGAACTTTAGGAACTCAATAATAATTTTATAATTAATTAAAATTCTCAAAATATATTTGAAATCTCCCCGCAATCAAGGTTTGAAAACAATCTATTTGTAAACCTTTTGCTATAAAAGGAAAGAACAAAATTAATTCATCATTGACTACTGTTTGATTAATTTTAACATGACTAATTTGCAAATTATACATCAAAAAGAGAAATTTTGGTACTTTCCACACTAAAATTATAATTTTAACATTCAGCACCTAACTTTATCAAATATACAACCTCACTATAAAATAAATGGGCAAATTTGAAAGTTTATATTTTGGATGATAAAAAGACAAAAAAAATTAAATTCCACTTTTCTCAATTATCATTCTATTCAACATTCTTAAAGTTTTTAAAATTATTTCACTTATTTTTCCCGAAATTAATTAATAAATTTTTAACCCAAATATGTTAAATTTAATTTAATTTTTTAGGTAAATATAATTTATGACATTGTATTTTTTTAATAATTTATTTTTTTTTTAAATATAATTTGTTTAATTTTGTTAGAGAACAAGAGAAAATTTTAAATTTAAGATTATATAATTAAATAAGTTAAATTTAACTTGTTTAATTTATAAATAACTAATAATGGATTTAATTATTAATCTATTAAATTCTAACATATTTGTTTGGACAGAAAATGACAAAATATTTGTATTTATTTTATAAAACTATTTTTTATTTTAAAAAAATAACTATGTTTGGAATTATTTTTTAAACATACTCTTTTTTTTTTAAATTTTTTTAAAAATTCATTTTTTATTTCCAAACAAATAAAAAGTAATAAAATGAACAAAAAATTTTTAAATATAATACAAGTTTAAAAATATTTAACATTTTCTTTTTTCTCCATGGTCTTATTCTCTAATAAAAATAAACAAATTATATTTGAAAATAAAAAATAGACAAATTGAAAGTTTTTGTCATGAAATATTTAAAATATATAATGTCACAAATTATATTTACCTAAAAAATAAAAATAAAAAATTGATACGTTTAAGTTATAATTTATGTATTAAGTTATTAAAAAAATGAATGAAAATATAAAGAAAAAAGAAAGAATGTTAAATAGGTAGAAAAAGAGAAAAATAGGATCCAAGTCATTTTTTTACTTTTTTATCTTCTAATAATATAAGTTTTTAATTTTACCTTTCAATTTGAGGGTGCATTTTTTATAAATTTACTAAATGTCAAGATTATAATATTGTAGTGTAAAGTATCACAAATCCTTATTATTGAGGTGAAATCTGTAAATTACTCTTTAATTTTTTAAATTTAACAATTTTTTATAATAAAAATAAAATGTAACGCAATGAAATATATTTTGCTAAAGAAAGTTATATGGCTTGAAATATAAATATAAGAAAGTAGATTTCAATATTTTATTAAATTTAATTTTGAACCCATGTCCAATGATTTTCCATTGCCATTCCCTCTATATGCGCAATCCAATAGCGAACCTAGTTAATCACACTGTCACCTCCAATACTAACACTAACACGTACAAATGACACGTGTGCCAATCACCGTATCTTAATTAATTAAGAAAGATGAAATAAGACTTTACTATTGCGCCACGTCACATGCAAACGAATCGGCGCCTCCGGAAAGTCCACCGGTTGATTCGCTGTCCCGCCCCCGCAATCCACCGCCCGCGCTTCCTCCTCAGATCCCCTCTTTCAGCTGACCATGACAGGTGTCGTCTTTTACTTACACGTCATTCTCCACCTTCAGCCATTTAACCCGGCTTCTTCACCAAACTATCACATTAACCTTACTCGTTCATTTCATATTCTATTCCTTTCTTTTTCATTCATTTTCTATTCCCTTCTTTTTCCTTCGAACTCCTTTGCTTTCTTTCCTTTCCTTGGAATCTTTCTTCAAGTGCTTTTCAAGAGTAACAATTTTTTTTTATATTTTTAAAATTTAAAACCTGTTTAAAAATTTAAAGCTATTTGTTTCCCGTACCAAAGAGAGAGAGTGGGTTTTTCTAGGAGTTTTAAGAAAAATTACAGTTTTTATGGATTATTTTTTCATAAAAAAGTACAATTTCATTTTTATTTAATATAGGATAAGTGACAATTCTCTGACAGTGAGGTTCCACGGCGTGAATCATACCATTGACTAGTTATTAAAAGTTTAATTTTCATACTATCTATTATAAGACTTACATTTTTAAAAAAAAAATAAAACTATTTGTATATACAGTGTTGCTGTTTAATTCTTTAATTTTCATTTTTTCTCAATTTAATATTGGATTTGTAACGTAAATATTTGATAATTAATTTTTAATTTTTTTTAAAGATTCAGCTGAAATTTAGAAATAAAAAAAAATTAAAATATAATTATTTTTTTTTAAAAAATCAAAATATATATAATATATTTTTAATTTTATCTTCATAAAATTTTGAATGCATCTCTCGTTGTACTTTCAGTTATGTTCCCATTCAGAAGTGACAAAACTTACTGCAACTTGCTAGTTGATCTGTGTGATATAGAATAGAACACGATACTGGTAAGTATACACCGTCTAATGTCACTTTCAAGGAAGCCAGTGTTTGGGAAAAGCAATTAATTAATTTCAAAAATCATAATCTAAGGCCGGAAAGGATCAACTGAAATTTGTGTAAGTGTAAAAAAATTTATATCAATCTTATATTTTATTGGTTTGGTCAAAATTAACGGATGAGGTTAATTACAATTGATTTAAATACAAATTAATTATTAAAAATTATTGACAAATAACTGTAATTAACCTCATCAATTGATTTTGATCAAATGACCTTTTATACTTACATTCGGTGTCAATTAATCCCTCATCATCTAAGAAAGTTTGGATTAATTTAAATAATACCAGTCCATAATTTACCATAAAAATTAAACCAAATAATCTTAAATCAATAAAAACAATTAATTAGGAGTGCCCCTAATGCATACATATAGTTTTATTTGCTATGTTACTCCAAATTTCAAAATAAAATAAGTATTTAAAAAATAGACAAATAGAATTTCACCCATTCAAAAAATTTAAATTAACAAGACATTTTCCTTACAAATATTATATTCATAATACTTATCCCCTCAATTAATGTTTTAGTGAAATTTTTATTAAAAATTATACTTTTAAAAGAGTATAAATATTTTTTAATATATAAATAACAACTATACATGAGTAAAATAGGAAACATTAATCAGTGTTTATACTTGAAAAGATATTTATATCCTTTAAATTTAGAATATTTAATGAATTTTTTACTAAAATATTGATTAAAAGAAGTAAATATTAAATTTAATATTTGTACGAGGAAACATTTTTTTTAGGTGTTTGCAAGGAGTATAATTTTAAAAATTTAAAACTCATAGAAGGTGAGTGTTATTTGTTAAAAAAATATTATGCTCATCAGCATTTGATCAATTGCTAGAAATTTTCTCTTCAATTTAATTTTTTTATGTTCTTGTAGAAGGAAAAAAAGGCGCAAAATGTATATACAAAGGGCCTATTTGCATGAGCTACTACTGCTGAAAAATAATAATAGTTAAAAAAGTATTGAAAGTATAAAAATTAAGAATGTTAGCAAATTTTATTGAAAAATAGAAGAAGTTAATAAATTGATTACAGTAAAATAATTATAATAATTGTTTATGATGTTAAAATATCTAAATTACCAATTCTTTAAAAAAATAATATATGGCCACACTATAAATTTTCTTAGGTTGTAAATGCAATTTTGAAGTTATTAAGATTATAAAAATAAATACATTATTAATAATTTACATAAGTTATTAATAATTGTTAAAATCTAATTCTTGACATTCCCCTTTTTAATTAATTTTACTTTCAATTAAAAAATATAATTTTATTTATTCTTAAATTCTAGTATATTTTTTATTTAATTAAAATAAATAACTGTGCAATAATATCTTTATTAATTTAAAATAAAAGTAATATAGGATTATGATAAAATATTATAATACATTTGACTAATTTTTTTTTAATTATTTATAATTATGCTTTCAATTACGAAAAATATGAGTTTAAATACTTTTATTTTTAATTATTTTAAATTAAAATTTTAAAAAATAATATAAAAAATAATAATACAAACACATAAATTTGATAAAAAATAATTACAAGGAAAAAAAAACTACTAAAAATAAGTTGCCCAATCATGCATGAAACTGTAAAATTGGCATTCACGTGATTTTGCCGAAACTCGGGACCATTTAATTCAGCACATGACTTTTCTCTGTAGTAGGTCCAATGCTACGAGTCGCGCTATTTAACAAACTCCAAGGAGTCACGTTCCACGAACAAAACTTGTGGTCTACGTCCACTGAACCCGCACAACTGCATTACTTGCACTCTAAACCCACACCAATCCCCTGCACCCGAAAACTCGCTCTCTCTCTCCCCGCCCCTCCTTCTCCCCACCGCGCCGTCCATGGCTGCTGGAATTTCCACCGTCGCCAGCCCCCTGCCGTTCCACTTCCTCCACAGCCAGTACCCATTTGGCCCAAAGCTCAATTCCATTGCCGCTCCCACCTATCTAATATCTCTGCCGATTCGCCGAAGAGATCTGACACGTCCGACCCGCCGCGGGATCATTGGAACTGTTTGTGTCGTCGTTGAAGGGGGAGAAAATTTGAGTACCAAGAGGAAGGTGGTGGTGAAACTGAGAGGCAGATCTCTGCGGCAGCGAGACTAGCGGCAGAGAAGCTGGTGAGGAAGAAGTCGGAGAGGATCACGTACCTCGTCGCGGCCGTCATGTCGAGCTTGGGTGTCACGTCCATGGCGGTCATGGCTGTTTATTACCGCTTCTATTGGCAAATGGAGGTGCTTGACTCCCCCCGTTTTGTCTATCTGTTTCACTTTATTTTTTCGGGCTCTTTTCTGTTTTTGGTTTTCCTTTTTTTGCGTGTTTTTTTGAATTTGGATTGTTGTGGTTTAGGGCGGAGAGATCCCCTGTTCGGAGATGTTTGGCACTTTTGCTCTCTCTGTGGGCGCTGCTGTAAGTTGTATTAAATATTAATATATTTTATATACATAGAAATCTGGAGAACACTTAAACTTTTTTTACAATTTGAGCTGTCGGTGGAATTGGGTATTATGAAATTTCAGGTGGGAATGGAATTCTGGGCGAGGTGGGCTCATAGAGCTCTCTGGCACGCTTCACTATGGCACATGCACGAGGTTTGCTTTCTTCTAGCTTTCTATATAATACAACGATGTTTGATTCATCAAGAATTTTGTTTCTCTTAAAGTCTGATTTATTCTTATGTTATTTGTTGCAGTCTCACCACAGACCCAGAGAGGGCCCTTTCGAGCTAAACGGACGTCTTCGCCATCATAAAACGCGGTCCAGCCATAGCCCTCCTCTCCTACGGCTTCTTCCACAAAGGCCTCGTCCCTGGCCTCAGTTTCGGAGCTGTAAATCTCCCTCTTCCCCCCCCCCCCTCTTCTCTCTCTCTCTCTCTCATGTTCTGTTTCATATTTGACCTTTGCATTTAAATAATTACTATTATTATTTCTAATATCCGAAATGGAATAAATAAATGCAGACTAACATTTCTCTTTCGAGCATCCTCTCTCCCTCCCGCCCCCTCGCTATGTCGACGTTGAAATTGCAGACATAACAGATTGGTCAGCGATTCTGCACTAACAGAGTCGGAATTCGCTGTTACGACGGGATTGCCCCTGCGAATACTAATAATTACAGGCGAACTCTGTGCAGGGCCTTGGAATTACGGTGTTTGGGATGGCCTACATGTTCGTCCACGATGGTCTTGTTCATAAAAGATTTCCCGTGGGGCCCATTGCCAACGTGCCCTACTTCAGAAGAGTTGCTGCGGCTCACCAGGTAATTTACCTTTAATTAATGCAGCACATTAGCAATTTTGTTTTTCAGGGTACTCAATAAATAAATAGATAATTGTTATTGCTATTAGCAGTAGTGTTTAACGGAAACTAACGGTCACGGTCATACTTGATTTTGATGTCCGTGTCTCAGCTCCACCACTCGGATAAGTTCCAAGGAGTCCCGTACGGATTGTTTTTGGGGCCAAAGGTGGGTGTTTTATTTAATTATTTAGAAAAATGGGGTCAATATGGAATTATTTTAAGTTAGTATACAAATTTTGGTGTAATACTGGGTGCGATGGTGCAGGAAGTGGAGGAGGTGGGAGGGCTTGAGGAGTTGGAGAAGGAAGTGAACCGGAGAATAAAACTATCCAACCGTTCACGATGATCAATTCCTCAAAATCGGACGGATGGAATTTTCTTTGTCATGGTTGTAGAAAAATGTTGGATTAATAAATTAAATGATTCTGATTTTTTTTTCTTTTAAAACAAATATAGATATAGAGAAGAAATATACCCGTTTTTATTTCTTTTTTCTTTTTTTCAAAATGGACTATTATTGAAATCCTACTAAAAGAAAATGCAAAGTTGCAATTGGAAATCTATTTCTATTTCTATTTCATGCAATTCAATCTCATGAATAGAGTTGAAAAAAAAATATTCAAATTCCAACCTAACCCTTGGCTTCATGCGAGAAGTAGCGTGTTATGAAAGCTTGGACTGAAAGGGAAAAGTGTCGGCTATGAGTGAGAGGTAGGTATTATAAGAAAGTAAAGTATCTCAACTGTCCGAAAACATTCTTTAACACTCTTTGGGTCATTTTTTTTGACTTGAGACCTTTCGAGTCATTATTTTCCACAACGTGTTCGGTTGATAATTTTTTCAAAAGAGTTTTTGTTGTACCTAACTAATATAAATATAAATATAAATATATATATATAAAAATAGTAAAATTTTTTGTTAACTTGAGAAAAATTATAACATATACGTTTTGTCAAAATGCGGAATTATTTTTTTCATTACTTTTGTGAAGGAAATTTTTTAAATTTTAATTATAAAAGTGATTGAATTAATATTTTATAAAACACGGCACAAGAAGCAATCTAGTTAGGAAGAAAATAATAAAGTTTACCCAGAGGAGTAGGGCCAACTTGGAATATGTGGGAAGATAAGCAAAGTTTTGCATTCTTTTTCTATAAATAAATAAATATATAGTACAAATTTCCACGTTACTTTGATGGTGACCCCATATTAAACTCTTTTATTTATTTATTTTAGGATACGTGTCGGAGAGGGAGAAGGGAAAACATAGTTTGAACATTCTGCTACCGTTCCCACCACGGTCAAATAAAGATCTCATTTGTATATTATTTTAAAATATTCACATTTTATTTTGAAATATTAAAATTTTAAAATACACACAAATATTAATTTCAATTTCTACCACACAAAAAAAAATCTAATAGAATATCAAACGTAAATATCAAATAAGCTATTAAGCCAATCAAATGGTGGCAACATCATAAACCTTTTCCCCCCCCTCTCTCTTTATATATATATATATATATATATATATAAGAAATAAACTAATATATCAAATAAATGTTTTACATTTATACAAAATTTTACACGATTAATTTACTCATATTTAATGAATGAAATTAATTAACGTTTTGAAAAAAGGAACAACTGTAATTAATATTTTGAATGTTAACTGTAATTAATTTTATTTATTAAATTGAATTAAATCAGTCATATAAAATTTAGTATAAATATTTTATATTTATACCAGTACAGTGTGTATATGTGTGTGTGTGTGTGTGTGTGTGTGTGTATTGTTAGACTTTTATCATTGATATTTTCCTACTACCTCGAATCCTGCCGACTTTACGGGGGCAATAATGTTGTTGGATTGGTCAGTAACAAACGATGCTATACCTTAGTTTTCTCTTTTTATTTTATAGATTGAAAAATGGAGCGTTGGAAATTAAATTTATAAATTCTGAATAAAATTTACAAGTATTTTATTATTTAAATTAAATCTTAGATTAAATTATTTCTTAATTTAAGTTGTCAAATTTTTATCAATTTACTTTTCCAATAACTAAAGAAAATTAAGCTTAAAAATCCAAGGTGTTCTTAAGGAATAAATTTTAAAACATTTATTTTTTAAAAAGCATTTTTAGTTCAATAATTGTTGGATTTACAAATAGCTATGTCACTTCTAATTTCAATCATTTTTATATTATTCATTGAAATCAATTTTGAAATTTTTAATATAATTTTAAACCTTTTTTATAGCATATAAATGTAAGGCTGTAAACAAATTAGATTTAGATCAAATCAATTAAATTTAAATTTAAATTTGACTAAATATTTTTATATCTAAATTCTATCTAAAATCCTATAAAATTCATGTTTGTTAAATCAAATCCGAATTCAATAGATAATTTCTAAACTTGATAAGAAAATTTCATCTAAAAAGAAAAATAATTTTTTACACTTAAATTCCTCAATTATAATCATAAACTAAGTTCATGAATTTTCTAATTTTCTCAATTTAATGTGTGTATAAATTTAAATTTATTTAATAATATATATATAATTATTAATTTAATAATAAATATTATTAAAATTCGGAATCGAATTCTTATCTGATCGAATTGCTTATTTTTAATTTCATCAACTTATTTTAAATTATAGATTTTTGTAATCAGATATAATTTATTAAATTTAAATTTTAAAATTTAGATCAAATTCAAATTAATTTGAATAAAAATTTAATCAATTAATAATTCTATATGAAAGTAATAAAAAAATTATAGATATTTGTGGGTTATCACCAGATTACCTAAAATCATTCCGAAAGTAACCAAAAAAAGTCCTTAAACACGGACACTAATTCAGGGCCAAGTGGCAGAGCGGAAATGGATGGGCGGCCCGTGCAGGTCCTGTGCGACCCTGCGGGTGAGGTAGGCCAACTTCGTGGCGTTGACTGCGGCGCCTCAGGAGCCTAACGCGCATTCGAGTGTTCATAGGCTACGTGCACGCTTCCCCGCCGCCGTGAGGTCTTTCTGATTCCACGTTGGTAGGGCCCCGATTGCCCTCAATATTAACTCAACCTCAGTGAGTGGCCTTTCACCAACATCACCTTCCCTTCCTCCAACTCGTGCTGTCTCCAACTTCTATTCAACTATTGTGTGATACAAGACTTGTTTAGCACTGTCAGTACCCTAACATTTTTTTCTTTTACAACAAGATGAAATTATATTTTATTATATATATGTGAGTCTTATTTTATTGTATGTGAGAAAAACATTCCTTTTAAGAGTGTTAAATAAATTATGACTCTCAATAGGGTAAATTTTATTTTGAATCTGATTCGTATTTGATCCCATTATTTATAATCTTTAAGTTATAAAATATTCAACATACACGGTCTAATTATAAAAATTTGTAATTCGAAATAATTTGATTGAATATAAATTTTATCTAATTCAATTTGTTAAATATCATAATCTAAATATATATATTTCTATTTATATACATATACGTATATTATATATATATATCATAATATAAACTTGATTTATCAAATTCTTATTAAAAAATATTTTTTCTTAAAACTAGAATTAGAAACATATTTTTATTATTTTATAAAAATAAAAATAAAAAAATAGTATATTAATAGATTAAAAATAATTGTTATATATTACCAGTAAACTAGCCTTAAATATAGTATTATGGCAAATCAAATGTAATTATATTATACTTTTAAATTTTAAATTTATTTATTACTTCATTTTTTAAGAATTTTTTGTTTTGATTTTCAATTACTTTTTTGAAAATATAAAATAATAAATTTATGATAATTTAATAATCTTGATTCAGATTATTGTGTCATATTCAAATATGATAACACTAAATACATATCTTACAAGATTTCGATTGGATTTGGATATAGTATACTAATACTGAATTCAGATCTAAATTTACTGTGACAACCCAAAAGGGGAGTTCTTGCTGAATCCCAAAGAGGGAGGGTGTATGTGACATTTTAGAAGGGGAGTATGTGTATATGACACCCTTAGGTGAATCCCACATCAATAAAACACGGAGAGAGATCCTGGGCTTATAAAAGATTAGAGACTACTACTGAACAACTTTGATTTAAGTATTTTGAGCCAGTTATTCAAGTTCAACAAGTTGCTAGGGTCAGTAGTACTCGGGTCATTACAAATGGTATCAGAACCACTCCACGGTAACCTTGAACGGTGGTGTAACAAATCTCAGCGAGGACGCTGAGTCTTAAAGGGGGAGTGTATTTGATACTCCAAAGGGAAAGTCCTCACTGAGTCCCAAAAAGAGGAGTGTATGTGATATCTCAAATGAGAAGTATGTATATGTGACACTCTTAGACGAATCTCACATCGATAAAATACAGGAGATATCCTGAATTTATAAGAGATTAGAAACTACTACTGAATAACTTGGACTAAAGTATTTTAGGCCAGTAGTTCGGATTCAACAAATTGTTAAGGTCAATAGTACTCGAGTCGTTACATTTACTATGATTCAATCTGAATCTAACTTGCTAATAACTCTAAAATAAATCACATATTTTATTTTTTTCAGTGGAATGAAATTTATATTCCATTATATAGGCGTAAGTTTTGTCTCACGCTTAAAAAAAAAAAAAAAAAAAAAAAAAAAAGGACACTGGTACAAAAAGAGGGCAAGACAACGGGTGACATTAACTTGTGTTTGAGCTTAAGGAGGGCGTAAAAATGTCATTTCACTAACTGGGTTTGACTCATAAAGGGAGGGTGGAGTAAAATTATTGGGTTCAACGACAAATTTGAGTGCATATTGAGACGACATTTGCTCATTATTGAGACGGCAGTAAGCCAATAGCAAACGTGGCAGTGGGTGACGGACAACAAATGGGGTTCCCATTATTGAGGCTATCTTACGAAAGTGATTCTTTCTTTGGCAGTGTTTTATTGGTACACGAATTCCTATAGCTTTTGAGTTTTGAGAACAACCCATTATCCCAACTTTATAAGGCAAAAAGGGGTTGCCCCACTCACTATCTGCAATGGCCCTAATTAGGGTGATTAAATTGATCACTCAACTAAACTTACTTTGTTGAATTTTCAATAATTTAAATTAGGTTTAATCGTTCTCTAAAGATAATGTAAAAAACCCTAATTACAACCCTAGTCACTGTTCTTTGTACGGGCAGAATTTGAGCTGGCCAAAAGATGGAAGACAATGCGGGGACATTTAGGGGGCGAATTGAGAGGTCTAATTTGTCTTTTTGCTTTCAGTGCTCAGAGCAGAAGATGTTATCAGTGAAGAAAAGGCTGCAAATTCTAAAAGGCAAGG